AAAGACAAGATGCAAAATGTTTTCTGTAAACATTTGATAAATTTGATTAATATTCTAAATTTCAGTTTATTTTTCAATTCTAGAATTTAGTTCCTTTTTTTATAGTTTCAAGTACTCCACTGAACTCTCAATCTTGTCTAATTCCTTGAATATATTAAGTAGTTATATTAAATCATGCATCTGAAAACTCTATTTGGATCGTTTGTGATCTGTTTTTATTTTCTGTTGTTTTCTTTTTTAAAAAATCATTTTTTCTCCTCATATGCCTGGTTATTTAAAACAGACTACTGGTCATTCTGTATGAAAAATTGTGAAGATTTTAGGCGTAGGATGACATTATCCCCATGCAAAAGATTTTCTTCTGGCACATGGCTAGAGTTACTAGCAATCACCAGATCACCTAAAATTTAGGTTATTTGAACATGGGCATTGACCCTGTGAGGTCTATTATATTTTCATTTTACCTTTACTCCTGGGCTAATCCTCTTCTGAATTTCAAATGCCCCAAAGCATTGGGCATTTATTAGGGCCCCCATCCTTGGTAGGCCCTGAACTCATTAATTTTTCTCCTATAGTTTATTGAGAATTTATTTCAGCTTCTTATCTTTTTAGCCATATCTTGTATCTTGATAAAAGCAGCCTCTTACTCTAAACTCTGGGTTTCCTTCTCCCTTATCTTGGCCCTATGATTCTTCTTCTCTCCAATGCCTTTAGAGGAATTTTGTTTCATGTTTTGTCTACCTTTTTTAGTTCTCACAGTAGAGTTGGTCTCAATTATGTATGTTGTTTGCCATTAGCAAAAGCAGAACCTCCTTTTGTTAATTTTTACTTTACAGTTTTCTTCAACAGCTTATAAAAATATCTAAAGTTTGGTGGTTCTGTATGCCTTTCTTTAATTTGTCTTGTCCCTCCCTCACACCTCCCTTTCCCTGACTCTGGTAACCATTATTCTACCACTATTCTCTGTCTTTTTTCTTTCTCTTTTTAATTGACCTATGATAATTACATATATTTGTGGAGTACAATATCGTATTCAGCTATATTCAAACAGTGTGCAGTGATCATATCAGGATGCTTAGTATATCCATCACCTCAAATATTTGTCATTTGTTGATGTTAGGAACATTCAACATCATCTCGACTAGCTATTCAAAGATACACAGTACTTTGTCATTAATTGTGGTCTCCCTGTATCACGATAGAACACTAGATCCCATTCTTATTCTCTGTACTATTTTATATCCACTGACCACCCTCTCCCCATCTCCTTTTCCCCATTCTCCATTACCCCTACCAGTCTTTAGTAACCACTATTCTACTCTCCACTCCTTTAGCTTCCACATATGAGTGGGAGCATGTGGTGTTTTTCCCTCTCTGCCTGGCTTATTTCACTTAATATAATTTTCTCCAGGCTCATCCGTGTTGCTGCAAATGGCAGAATTCCATTGTGTATATATACCACAGTTTCCTTATCCAGTCATGTATTATGGACATTTAGGTTGGTTCCAACTTTTGGCTATTGTAAACAGAGCTGAGATAAACATGGGAGTGCAAATATCCATCCCCTCGACATGATGATTTCCATTCCTTGGGTATATACCCAGTAGTGGGGTTGCTAGGTCATATGGTAGTTCTATCTGTAGTTGTTTGAGAATTCTCCATAGTGTTTTCCATAATGACTGTATTAATTTATATTCACACCAATAATGTGTAAGAGTTCCCCTTTCTTCTTGTCTTGGTCAGCATTTGTTATTTTCTGGTTTTTTAATAATAGCCATTCTAATTGGGGTCAGATGACATCTCATTGTGGTTTTGATTTGCATTTCTTTGATGATTAGTGATTTTAATTCTTCAGTTACTCATTAATTGAGGAAATGTATAATAAATATCCTCTATATGTAAACCCACTATGTTCCGTGCCTTGTGAGGATACAGAGATGCATCAGACACCCATTCTGACTTCATTGAACTTTGTCTAGTGGGGTAGGAGAGGCATGCATGAAATGAATATCATGTAATTTTTAAAACTTTAAGTGCATAAGAGAGGTGTAGGTCAAGTGCTGCACTGAGTTAGAGAAAGGAGATATTCCTTCCATTTCAGAGGATGACATTAGGTTTTACTGAAAAGAAGCTTTGAGCTGGGTCTTCAGCCTTACACTGAATCCTGCATTGATTGGGTAAAAACAGGTATCAATCGTGATGCTTGCATGTCAGTGGTTTTTAACCGTGTTGTGCAGAGATGAAAGTAATTCTGATGCAGTGGTAACTATATTTCCACACATAGAGATAATTCAAAGCAAAATCCCATAAAAAATGATTTTTTTGAGAAGAAGCTGGAATTTCTTCTCTTTGATAGAACCATTGTGTGACTAAATTTTTTAAACTTTTTTCATTAGTTTATTTTTCTTTTATGTGCCATTTTAAAATATTTAAAATAAACTTTTATTGAGATATAAAATCAACCCAAATATATTCTCCTGTATAACTATCATCACAGTCAAACTGTAGAACATTTCCATCACCCCGTACACACAGACACAATTTCCTTGGTTTCCCCTTCCAAATTTCCTCCCACACCTCTGCCCCAATCAACTACTAATCTTTCTGTCACCTTATATTAATCTTTTCTATAATTTCATGTAAATAGAAGTATACAGTATATATTCTTTTGTGTCTGGTTCCTTTTGCACAGTGTTTTTGAGATACATTCATCTTGGGGTGTAATCCATAGTTGGTTATTTTTATTGCTGAATATTATTCCATTGTATGACTCTACCACAATTTGTTTATCTATTTGTATTACTCTGTTTTCTGTTGCTTATAACAGAATAGCTGAAACTGGGTAGTTTATAAAGAAATAAAATTTCTTACAGTTTTAGAGGCCAAGAAGTCCAGTGTCCAGTGGGCACATCTGGTGAGGGCTGCCTTCTTGGTGGGGACTCTATAAAGAGTTCCATGGCAACGCAGGTTATCATGTAACAAGGGCTGGGCGAGAGCACTTGTTAATGTGCTTACTTGCTGTCCTTATAAAGCCACTAGTCCACACCCATGATAACCATTAAACCATTAACCCATTACTCCATGAACAGATTACTCCATTTATGAGGTTGTAGTCCTCATGATCCAGTCACCTTTAAAGGCCCTACCTTTCAACACTGCAATGTTGGGAATCAAGCTTCCAACATGAGCTTTAGAGGGAACAAACATTCCACCCATAGCACCAATCGCATAAGTTTGTTTTTAAATTTATCAGGAGTACCTAGCTACTAATTTATTTTTTGTGTGTATTGATTACTCATCTCTGGAATTGAGACACACTAATATTTTGAACTCTAAATTTGTAATGCTGTAAAAATTGATTTTGAAGAGGTAGACCTCTTATTGCCTACATAATGGTGCCATCAGAGTAGGCTGCTATGATACAGGTATTGGTGTCATAACATTTTGACCTTTTAGTTGTACAAATGTGTTTTTGTAGTCTCTTCCAAATGTTAGGCTTAAGAATGCTGATACTGGGATAATTTTAAATTGTTGTGATAGCTACTGAGACTGTGTGAATGTTGTTAAATAAAAATAACACAAAATATGTTGTCGTTTTTATTAGTTATTGCCTGTAAGAATAAGGAATTTGTGTTTTACTTGTTTTCAAATTCAGTATTCCAAATATTAATATTTTGCAAAGTAAAAATTTCATGTACTTTAATATGTGTATTTCATGCTTTTAAAAATATGGCTAGTTATGAAATTATTGTTACAGCTTGTGGTGTTCTTTGAAAAGGCAGTAATATTTTCTTTTGGAACTGGATTTCTTTTAAATACCAATTTAACAACTTTCATTATACTATATTCTGTCATGGGTTTTTATATTTTTTTGGAACTGCTATAAAATTTTCCTGCTATAGGCTGTTTTTTTTTTTAAGGCTCTAAACCAGGTTAGGTAAAGCAGTTAGAAAGGAAAGGGACAGATGGATGATTAATGTATTCAGTGTCCCTTATGTATTCGCTAAAACTTTTATTTATTCTGTAAGTGGTTTTCCTCAAATTCTCTGCTTCAAAAAGTAATACCATATATTACTAAGGTAGCAGCTCATTTAAAAAAATAATCCTTTATGTTTAGGTGCTCCAAATACTGCTGAATTAAGGATTTGTCGTGTAAACAAGAATTGTGGAAGTGTCAGAGGAGGAGATGAAATATTTCTACTTTGTGACAAAGTTCAGAAAGGTATTTGTTTCATTGAATTCAGAATATATCTTAGATTAACAGATGCATTTTACTTTGTTTTCCGCTGTTTTTTTTTTTTAAAGCAAACTTAATTTGCTCATGAAGTTTCTTATGGCAACTAGCTATGTCACATCATCTAATATTTTCTTGGTATTTTATCACCAAAATCATATAAATTTTAGTAGATATTCCTTTGTATATCACTTTTATGTATAACGTATGTAAAATTTTATAATAGAGTTCAACCTTTAAAAGCATAGGCTCTGGATTCAGTGATCTGAGTTCGAATTCCCACTCTACCATTTCTTAGCTGTGAAACTTTGGACAAGTCATTTCATCTCTTTAAAATCACTTCCTCATCTGTAAAATGGGGATGATAGTAATTCTTGTACAGATTTGGGAGATTATTTACAGAGTCCTTAATGCAGTGACTGTACCAAATACGTATTAGTTGAATGAATAAATGAATAAATGTATAATCTGCATCCAATTTTTTAAAAAGTTGATTTGTTATTAATGTCAATTTGGGATTCTGCTCTAAATCCCAGATGATTGGGATAGTTACTTCCTGAACATGGCTATAAATTTATCAAATACTGTTAGATAGTGACTATTTGATGATAAAAAGCATTCTTGAGATTATATACCATTCTGTTTTTGTTAGTACAGATTTGGGTGCTCCTCAAGGTTATTAGATATAATGGGCAGGAAGGAGGACCTAGGAGGATTTAGTTCTATGTGACTATTCTGCATTCTTCAAATTTTTTTTACTATTTAGTTCCTGAACCACAGCTGCTTGATATTGAAGATTGTGACCTCAATGTGGTGAGACTATGTTTTCAAGTTTTCCTCCCTGATGAACATGGTAATTTGACAACTGCTCTTCCTCCTGTTGTCTCTAACCCAATTTATGACAATCGTAAGTACTTTATTTTCTTGTATTTGTAGTCTTAGCTTATTTTTTTATTTTAATCGTTTAACTTTTTAAAAGTATTTTGGTAATTAGAAAAAGTATATCTTTATTATAGGAAATATTCAAACATTACAGAAATGATTAACAAAGAGTAAATCTCCTATGATTTCATCCTCCAAAGATAATCATTGTCCTCAGGTACATATTTCACTAGTTTCTTCTTCATATATATACAAATACGTTATCATCATCGTCATCACCATTATCATCATTATTATTCACACAGTATAATTTTGGCAACTTTAAAAACAATTATTGGGCCGGCCCGGTGGCGCACTCGGTAGAGTGCGGCGCTTGGGAGCGCAGCGGCGCTCCCCCCGAGGGTTTGGATCCCATATATAGACTGGTCCGCTCACTGGTTGAGCGCGGTGCGGGCGCGACACCAAGGGTTGCGATCCCGTTACCGGTCACGAAAAAAGGAAAAAAAAAAAAAACAATTATCACTGATCTTTTTTTAAACTTACTTTTTCTCTTAGCAATATATCTTGAACTTTTTTTTCTTTAAGCCACATATTCTTTTCAGTAGCTGCATATTTTATTATATGGCTATATCATAATTTTATTAAATCATTACCCTATTACAGGACATTGGTTTATTTCCTTCTCATTTTTTCTTTTTGCCCTAATAAATTGTATTGTTGTAATAAATTACCTTGGGCAAATATTTCTCTAAATTTTCAGAAGTAGAAATATTGGCAAATGCTAGATCAAAGGATATGGATATTTATCATTTTAAAAGATTATGAAACTGCCGTCCAAAATATTTCGTGTGTATGTTTGTACACACACTTATATATACATCCACCAAAGGTGTATGACTACCACTGTTTTGCATCTAAAATGATAGTGCGACATGGGGTTATAAAAGTAGATCAAAGTATCCTCATGATGGAGAGCCTTGAATTCCAGGGAGAATTATTGTAATCATACTGGCCAAGATAATGGAAGCATAAAAATTGCATTGCCATAGGGATATGGCCATAATTTAAGAATATTAATCTGGTGACAGTGTGTAGAATGGATCGGAAGAATCAGAATTTAGAAGCAGAGAGATTTAATTAGAGGACCTGTCATTGCCTAGAAATGAAGTCACAAGGCTCTAAACCAGGTTAGGTAAAGCAGTTAGAAAGGAAAGGGACAGATGGATGATTAATGTATTCAGTGTCCCTTATGTATTCACTAAAACTTTTATTTATTCTGTAAGTGGTTTTCCTCAAATTCTCTGCTTCAAAAAGTAATACCATATATTACTAAGGTAGCAGCTCATTTAAAAAAATAATCCTTTATGTTTAGGTGCTCCAAATACTGCTGAATTAAGGATTTGTCGTGTAAACAAGAATTGTGGAAGTGTCAGAGGAGGAGATGAAATATTTCTACTTTGTGACAAAGTTCAGAAAGGTATTTGTTTCATTGAATTCAGAATATATCTTAGATTAACAGATGCATTTTACTTTGTTTTCCCATTGTTGTTATTTCTTTGGTTTCTTATTCACTAGATGACATAGAAGTTCGTTTTGTGTTGAATGATTGGGAAGCAAAAGGTATCTTTTCACAAGCTGATGTACACCGTCAAGTAGCCATTGTTTTCAAGACTCCACCATATTGCAAAGCTATAACAGAACCAGTGACAGTAAAAATGCAGCTGCGGAGACCTTCTGACCAGGAAGTTAGTGAATCTATGGATTTTAGATATCTACCAGATGAAAAAGGTATAACATTTTGGTAATAATGATTTATATATTTCTTAAAGTTGGCCCTGCTAATTACGTTTTCTTGTAAGATACATTTGAATATAGTTATGTGTCTTCATAATTTGTTTCTTTTCCTGGAAGTTTTCAGTTGTTTTTTTTTTCTTTATGATCTTTGGATAACTTTCTTAGGAAAGTGGTTTGATTATTCTGGAATAATTTCCAAGTATCTAAACTGTTTATCAAAATTTCTGTTTGTTATTTTAATTTCTGTTTTATTTTTGTCCTTACTGTGCCCTTTTTTAAATGGGAAACTTGCCACTCAGAGAGTGTTCTCTTTTGCTCCTTATCCTATCAGACCTTATTGCATTAGTTGACATTGTTGACACAGGTATTATAAGAAAACAAGATGAATATTTTAAACTATTTTTTCATAGGAGAGAAATACCCTTTTACTACTGATTTGGGATATATTCTGCAATACTCATTATTTATTTAAAGCATTTTCTATATATAAATAAAGCACCTGTTTATTTCTTATTGGAAAGGAAGCATAATCCTATGATGATTCACCTGCTTTCCTGATTTCTTTCTAATCAGATACCTATGGCAATAAATCAAAGAAACAAAAAACAAGTCTACTTTTCCAGAAATTATGGCAGGATTGTGGTAAGAATATTTTAGATTGATTCAATAGATTTTATTTGTTTTTTTGTTCAGTTTTTCAAATTTTAACTGAATATTATTTTTCAAATTACATTTAATAATGGAAAAACTATCATAAACAGTTAATTTTCCTGAGAGACCAAGACATGGCCTAGGATCAACTGGAGAAGGAAGATTCATCAAAAAAGGTATGTTACCCCTATAGAGTATTTCTTGTGATCAGAAAGACCAGTTCTTTGCACAATATATTGGAATTTCATTGTTAGGAATGAATAACTGCTTCTTTAATATTTTCCTCTCCTACAAATTTTTTCATACTTCCAATATTGAATGATTTGAGCCTGGCTTCCAAAAGCTGTGTTGGAAACTGATTATGTTTTGTGGGATTCATTGTTCGAGAAATAACATTTTGTTCATATGGTGGTAATTTTACTAATTACAGTGTGTCATGGAAGAAATGGTTTAGATCTTGCTGGTTGCCGATTTTTATGAATAGAGTTATACTGAAACACAGTTATGCTTATTTGATTACATATCTCTATATGTAATAAACTGCTTTTTTTTTTTTTTTTCACTATAGCAACAGGGTTGAATAGTTCCAACAGAGGCTGTATAGCCCACAAAGCCTAAAATATTTACTATCTGGCCCTTTAGAAAGAAGTTTGCCAATCATTGTTCAGATAATTCAACCAAGTGTTAATTGAGAAGTCTTTTTCCCCCTGTAGTCTTAAATCTGTGCTTTTTCCTGGTTTAGTATACAAGGGTACTTCAAAAAGTTCATGGAAAAATAGAATTAAAAGGTAATACGACTCTTTCTCTGAACTTTTTGAAGTAACCTCATATACACATATTCACATAATACATAAATCAATATGGAATTAATTTTTTTCTGACTGGGAATTTTGTAGTACCCTAGGATCGTATCTTAATATATCTTAAAAGTTATGTGTATTTTTCAATCACACCTAATGAATGTTTTCTCCATCCCTCCATTTTTTCCTTAAAGTGTAGTGTGTGAGATGGTTTTGACTATGTAGATTCCCATTAATTGAAATTCTGATATTTATCTTTCATTTTTCAAAAATACCTTTATAGGGCCTCAGAAGCTAAATATTTTCGTATTTAACTGGAGTGAAATTACATATGACAAAATAACTTACCAAAATCATTTTACATGTATTTGTAAAAAGAGTACATGTTACAGAATTCAGTTTTGGACTCGCATAATAATTTCAGTGCTTTTTGAAATTTTTGTTTAAAATTTGCCGTGAAATTTTCCTTTAGTATGTTTATGTAATTTTAATTTAGAAAATGCTTTTTATAATTTTGTTCATTTTAATTTTGTAAAATACATTTTCCTCCCCACAGAATCAAATGTGTTTTCTCATGGGACAGCTTTGACAGAAATGCCCAGACCTTCAGGAGTTCCAAGTCAAGCATCCTACTATTCCTCACCTGTGTCCATCTCAAGTGGACTGTCACATCATGCTTCAGCCATACCCTCAGTGGTACCTCAGCCTTCTTCAAGCTGGTCATCAATGGCCCACCCCACCTCACGCTCAGGCAATACAAACCCACTGAGTACTTTTTCAACAGGGACACTTTCCTCTAATTCACAAGGTATCCCATCATTCCTGGAAATACCTGTTGTGAGTGATTTAAATTCTTCTAATGCTTGTATTTATAACAACACTGATGACATAAGCAGAATGGAAGCATCACCCATGTCACCAGCTGACTTATATGGCATTTCTGATGCCAACATGCTGCCTAATTGCCCTGTGAATATGATGCCACCCAGCAGTGATAGCATGGGGGAGAATGATAATCCAAGACTTGTGATCATGAATCTTGAAAACCCCTCTTGTAATTCAGTGTTAGACCCAAGAGACTTGAGACAGCTCCATCAGATGTCCTCTTCCAGTATGTCAGCAGGTGTCAATTCCAATACTACTGTTTTTGTTTCACAGTCAGATGCATTTGAGGGATCTGACTTCAGTTGTGCAAGTAACAGCATGATAAATGAGTCGGGACCATCAAACAGTACTAATCCAAACAGTCATAGTTTTGTTCAAAGTAGTCAGTACTCAGGTATTGGCACTATGCAAAATGAGCAATTAAGCGACTCCTTTGCATATGAATTTTTTCAAGTATAACTTGCAATATTTAAATCCTTTTAAATGTTTGTAGTCATTTTGATACTACGTACATAGATGCAGCATTTTATATTTGACCCAGAATATAACACAGGGTTTTTTTTTGCTGTTTATTTTGGAAGGATGGTAGTCCAAAAACAACTTTTTTAGGTAAGAAGTATAAAACTTCGGGTATATAGAATACAAAATTAGAAACTGTCAAAAAAAGAAAATTCAGAAATAGACACTTAAAGTTTTTTTTGCTGTTTATTTTGGAAGGATGGTAGTCCAAAAACAACTTTTTTAGGTAAGAAGTATAAAACTTCAGGTATATAGAATACAAAATTAGAAACTGTCAAAAAAAGAAAATTCAGAAATAGACACTTAAAAGGGCTTTACCAGTTCTTCATTTGAGAGACCTGCTACCATGTTTGGTATGATTCTATCCTTAGAGTCCCACTGAATTTCCCCAGGATACAGTCTGAGGAGAATGTTAAAATAAGGATCCTGTTTTTCCAAAGAGCTTTTTTATACCTTTTTTGTAATGTATTAATGTATTCTTAGTTAAATGAATTAACTGATATTTGCTTTCAAGCAAATTTAAGGTAAAACCTGTAATGGCTATGTCATTGGAAAAATAAATTCCTTATTATTTTTGAGGCCCCTGGGCCAAGGTGACCCCTAAGGGGTTTTCTGAGGCTTCTGGGAGTTTCTTAGATTTATATGTAAATCAAAACTTCTCTAAAATCTTGAGTTTGGCAGAAGACACTTGAAGTGAGCTTTCAACGTATGGGAGGTTTTCTACTTTCTATACTATGTAAAGCTGTGCCTTTGAAGTTGCGTATGATTTTAGCTTTACACCCATATTTTTAAGGGGAAGAAGTTTCCTTAAAGAGTTTTCCTCTCTTCTTTCTTAGGTGTTCTCACTCCTTATGATCTCATAAAACTGCCTATTTGACATATCTATCTAGAAATCTCATTAAAGCTCAAACTCAACATATTCTAAAACTGAGTTCTTGATTTTCCCTCCCAAACTTGCTTCTCCTTCAGTCTTCCCAACTCAGTAAATGGCAATGCCATGCTTCTAGTTGCTCAGGCCAAAACCCTTGCATCATCCTTGATTCTTCTTTCTTTCTTTAATCTCCCATATCCAGTCCATCAGCAAATCCAGTAGGCCCTACCTTCCAAATATATCCAAAGTTGAACACCTCTTTTGACCTCTACTTACCACCCTATTCCAAGCCATTGTCATCTCTTGCTTGGATTGAAGCTGTAACCTCCAAAAGCCTTCTTTACATCCTGTGCTCCTACAGTCTGTTCCCCATAAAGTAGCCAGAGTGATTGTTTTTAAAATAAGTCAAATCATATCATTCATCTGCTCAAAACCATCCAGTGGCTCCCCATCTCACTCAGAGTAAAGGCCAAAGTCCTTAAAATTAGCAGGCCTAGACTCCCTGTTCTACCTCACGTACTACCGTTTCCTCCTCTTCACGCAGCTCCAGGCACTCTGGCCTCATTGCTTCTCCTCAAAGCACCAGGTACACTCCTGCCTCAGACTTTTTGTGTTTGATATTTTCTCTGCCTCGAATGCTGTTCTCCCAGATGTGTGTGCGCAGTCTACTCCCTGACATCCTCTAGGTCTCGCTCAACTGTTACCTGATCAAGGCCTTCCTTGGGTGTACTCAGCACTCCTGTCTTCCCTGCTTTACATACATCCATAGCACTTATCATGATCTGACTTCACTAAGCATTTATTTGCTTACTGTTTGTTTTCCTGTAGTGAAATATAAGCTCCATGAGAACAGAAATTTTTCTGTTTTGTTTACTGTCTACTCTCCAGTTCATCAAAGTGTCTGCCTCATATTAAGCACTCAGTAAATATTTATTGACCTTTCAAAGTATTACTAATAGAATTTTGTTTTTTGAAAGAAATAGCTTTGATTACTAGATGTTTATGATTTCTCAGTTTTGTTTAAGGTGACATTGGGTTTATGTATTCAAGTCCAGGATTAATAATGGTAATCTGAATTGTTTGAAAGCAAAATAATCACAATGGCAAAATGATGATAGAATTTCGGCAGTAATCTTAATTATGATGGAATTGTCATAATATTAAGTAATTAACTTATTAAAGATCTAGTTTATCTTACAGCTAGAACCTACTGTAAATATTGAGCATGCTAGCTATGAACAATGTGTCGTTTCACTTATACAATGTCCATCCAAACCACACATTTACATAAACTAGTCAATTTGGTCAAAATGGTGAATGTGTGAATGCCATATAAATAAAAATTCTGAATTGAATGATACTGGGAAAGAGGAAGAAGGGCAAGATAAGACTTAGGATCAGGATAGTTCAGAAAGCAAAAGAAAAAGATTAAAGTCCCCTAACTAAGTACCATTAATATTTCTCAGAAATTATGATTTCAAAGGGAAATATTTCTGTAATATAAAATTTTAAAATCATAAGCACATAGCATACTTTTAGTAGAACTTACCAGGGAAAAAGAAAAACCTGAAGATATAATTTCTCTCCTGTTCAACATATAAATCCAGGATGTCTCTGGATGGTGAATGATAGGTGGTGAATTTTTTAAAAATTCAGAATCTTATAATTTTTGTATTAACACTGATCAGTTAAAACTGTTAGATTGTTCGAATGGCCAAATGGATTTTTTAAAAGAACCAAATAAGCATTGACTTGACTTCAAAAAACAAAATAAGCTCAATTAAGGTACTTCTCCATCTGTTCAGAGTATTTCCAATGGATTAGATTTTTTAAAAAAACCAAATAAGCATTGACTTGACTTTAAAAAACAAAATAAGCTCAATTAAGGTACTTCTCCATCTGTTCAGAGTATTTCCAATGGATTTTTCATTTTTCAGGTGCTATTTACTGATCATAGAATTTATTTTATAATTTAAGATTAATTTGGCAACATGTTTCTCCAGTTTCTAAATGTATTTATAGTTTCACCTGCTCTTATAACACTCTACTTTTGGTTTCTGAGGAAAAGGTGTCCTTCTTCCCTCTAAACTCTATTTGTGTACTGGATCCCTTCTGCCTCCTTTCTCTCCCATCCTGTTTCCTAACATCACCATTTAATGCTTCCTTTCTTTGTATAAACATGGTAAATGTCTTCTCTAGCCTAAAAAGAAAGACAAAAGAAAAAACCCTTCCTACCACCCTCATACTCCTTCCCTTATATCCTGACTTCTAAAATATTTTTGCCTCTCTTCCTCACTTTCCAGTCACTTCTTAGCATATCAACTGGTCTTTGGCTTCTACTGTTTTCTCAAGATATTCTGGAAAAGGTAACGAGAGACGACCCCCTTTATCACATCTACATCTTTTTATCAGTCTTCACCCTGCTTGACCTATCCATAACCTTCTTCCCCATACACCACTCCCTCCTTGGATGCTCCTCTGAGGTTTCTGTGGTTGACAAGATTCCTCTCTGAGGTTGATATTTTTTCCTAGAGTCTCAGCCCTATCCTTCAGTTGGTGCTATTTTTTCCCCCAGGGTGATCTCATCAGCGCTCCCAGCTTCAGCTTTTTCCTCATACTACCGAATGCCCTTATAAAACGGGCTCCTCCTCTGGCATTCTTTACTTTCCTTAATGGCATTACCATTTACTTTACCACCCAAGATATTCAATAGGAACCTCAAAATCATATTTTATTCTTTTTCTCCCTCATACTCAATACTTAGTCATCAAGTCCTTTTGAGTCTGCCTCCTAAAAATCTCTTGCATCTGTCCCTTCTTCATTCTTGCTGCCTTCTTAGTAAAGACCTTCATTCTTTATCCTCAACAAGAATATTTTCCATATGCTCCAGTTAAAAACACTCCATTCTCCCCTCTATCTTATTACGTAGTTAGCATTCCTTGAAAAAAAAAAAAAATCCTCTTTTAGGCCTCCATACCTTTGTCACCCACTCTGCCTCTGCTCTACTACAATGAGAACACTCATCCTTCCAGACCAGGCTTCTCCCCTATGGAGCTTGGTCCTGCCTCCCTAGTTGAGGTGCAGCTTTTACATGCCCGTTACCAAAATCTCACTAAATTATAGTCATTTAAGTGTTTGTCTTATTCACCTTTAGGACTCCAGCACCTAGCAGTCCCTGGCATAGATGATGCTATAAAAATGGGAGCTATTATTAGGGAGGGAAGGGTGAAATTGACATAAGAGTGATTATAAAAATGTGGGAAAGGGTATGGTTTTCAACAGGAAAGGTACTTAACTTGGCAGGAAAAACAGTGATGCCAAGGTTATTCAAATCTTGTGAAGTACACTTCTTTTCCTTGACCAACTGCCTTCCTTTTCTTTTAAAAACCCTTCTGCAGCCCTTTGAGGTTGAAAGCAATTTCATTAGGAATAGTAGTGTCAGATGTATTAGGTAGAAACTCTACAGTATTAGGTTTAATACCCCTGACCTCTTCACTATATGTGGCAGGTTTAATCTCAAGTTTCCCTCATGCACTTCCTCAGCACCTTACCCCTTGCACAGACACTCTAGTGTTTGTGTAATCAATCATATATATCACATTCTGGGAGGTTTTTTTGGTGACAGGCCAGTACAGAGATATGAACCCTTGATTTTGGTGTTCTCAGCACCATGCTCTCCCAAGTGTGCTAACCAGTTAGCCCTACATTTTTTGAATGTCTAATGTGCAACGTACCATGTTAGATGCTGGGAATGATACAGAGGTGAATGAGACAAAACTTTTGCTCTCAAAGATGTCAGTCTTTTTCTTTTTGAGGGATAACACATATAACGTAATATGCATAAAGTGGACTCATTTAAAGTGTACAGCTTGATGAATTTTTATGTTTATAAACACTCATGTAACCACCATGTTTAGGACATTTCTAGCATCCCAGAAGTTTCCTTCATGCCCCTTGCCAAACTGCCTACTCCTCTAAACTGCTATTCTGATTTCTGTCATCAAAACCTACTACTTCATGGCCTTTTAAATTGGTAACTAGGCCTCTCTACTCACAACCTACTGAACAG